GTCACCGAATGACGAAACGTAACACAAGGAAAGCCCAAAATAATTATATTTCTATGGCGTGGCGTGCCTTCTCGCGTTCTATTTCATGTATGAAACAGAAGCAAAAGTAACAGAAGAAGGACGAGGACAGCGAGTAAGGGTAGCTCGCCGCCCGACCAGAACCAGACCCGAGCGGACGGCGCGTAGCGTTCCGCGCGCGCCTCAAAGAGCCAATAGACCACCACAGACGGGGCACTACAGGGCTGATGTTCACCCGGGGTTGCGGGATAAGCGCAACGAGCCGTGTGAGAGCAGGAGAAGGAACGAGGGCTTTTTAGTCAGTAAGAGTCTGATACTCCCTCCCGCCCGACCCTGGGCGGAAGAAGTCATTTGACGAACCCCCACAACATCAATAAGAACTGGTCTTTGAATGTGAAAAGATCATACTTTACGAGTCTACGATTTTGTGTAGCTTGTAGATTGCCTCACAGAGCCTGAACACTGCCATAGACAGGGTCGAACAGGGCCAATGTTCCGCCGGGGTTGCGGGGCGACCGCAATAAGATACTGCCTCAACCTAGACCACGAGAAGCAAGGTTTTTAGTAAGTAAGAGGTTGACACTCCCTCTCGCCTCTCAAAAAAGCCATGAGAACAATGCTGAAGCAGGTATATTGTCAGTTACAAATTAAAATTATGGGTATTATAATCATTATCATATTAAATAGGCCTCCCTCAATAATTTCCACGTAGATCGATTGGATGCCACATACATCCTGCTTACAGCGACTGTCTCCATCATATTTAAGTTCTCTGTAAATACTTAAATCTTAGGCTCACAATTCAACATGGCCTCAATAGCCGTTAGGTACCTACCGGAAAAATTTGAATATAGAACTTGCTAATTTGTATAAGCTACTTACCACATAAATCTACCGAAATCTTGTACGAAAGTACTGAATCAAAAGATTATTGTATCTAATCTGGTTCAACCAAGTTCTTTAAAGACTAGAATAGTTTTTATTTGTGAAGCGAGCTATTTGTGCCTTCCGCAACTGAAACCTTGTTAAGTATATGTCCTATTCTGTGCCTGTTGCCACATACCTACTGTGCACAATATCGAACTAATTCCAGAACTAAAACTAAATACTTAATATTTTCTAAAATCTATTTTTATTTGACCTACGCATCGGTTACTTCTCAAACTTATTTTCAAACCGCTATTTACTGTTTCCACGCAAAAATATTCTGGTACCTCACAATAAAAGGAAGCAACGTTTTAAATTCATCGTAACAGTTTAATTCAGCACGCTAAACTAGAACGTGAATAATTTACACTTTCTTAAAAAACCAGGCCACCGCCATTACATACCTAAATCTACCTATCGAGAATATTTTGTTCTTATGAAACTGTCAAAATGACGTAACGTAAACACCAATTTGTATATGCAGTTGACCGTGGCGCTAGTGGACATACAAATGCGGTTTTTCCAAAACGTAGATTTTAGTTCCGCATTTTACCACACGCATGTAAGTTTGTTTTGTTTCGCGCCGTATTCTGAGTATTGTGACGTAGTTTCTGAGTAAGTGGTGACGTTATCGCGCGTCATTCGCTTGGAACGGGTTTATCCAAAGAAATAATACATCCTTATTCTAATTATTGAACTTATTTCATTTAAATTATATTTTGAAAGAAAACGGGATTTTTTTTGCACTTCTTATTTTTATATGGAGGAAATTTCGTACCTATTGTTTTTTCATCGTTTCTAAGTAGATTTGATAATTTATGCGGTTTGATATAAATAGTGCTCCTTATCAGCTTATAGTAGATTTTTATAGCTACCTAGTATTAAAATAGACACTGAATTTACTTATAATAATAAGAATTTACTACTGCGATTTCATGGTGTTTTTATATTGCAAATACCCCACGGTACATTTCAATTATAATATCCTCATATTACAAAATGTTTTTTTTTTTCCTAGTTTGTTTTTGATATATTCTGGTATTATTTTTTCATGTTTCTTTTCTTCATTTGAACTTGATTTTTGCTCTTATAATTTATATTTAATTTAATTTATTTCTTATATTATAATCTGAACGTACTCGTTATGCGTTGCTTTCGTCCGTGCGTCACTGCAGGGGTGCCAACTGAAAATCAGTGTTGGGTGCTCAGTGTGCCCAGCTTTTTGCTGAGTTGGCGACCCGTTCGGTTTAGACATGTCTGCCAACCCTGTAGAACACTGTCAACACTGTGTGTTCTGCTGTCTGCCAAAACTGTATATTTAGCGTATTTTTGTTTTTTTTGTCTTTTTAACCTTTTTATTGTTTTTTGTGTTGTATTTTTGTTTTTTTTTTCTGGCTTTCATGTCTGATGCCGAATAAATGTATTTTCTTTCTTTCTTTTCTTTCTTTCTATAATATACTGTTTTAAAGTAGGTATCACAATTTCGTAATAGGTAAAATGTCGTAAGTAGTGGCCCGAAAATGTCGTGGTGGCCCGAAAGGTTAAGGAGCCCGCTTCTCATGCATGAGGATGTGGGTTCGAAACCTAGCAAGTTCGAATGTGACTTTTTCCGAGTTATATGTACTTTCTATGATTATTTAGACACCACTCACATACGGTGAAGGTAAACATCTTGAGGAAACCTGGACTTATAATTTCTAATTGCAATTTTGAAATCGCCAACCCGCATTGAGCAAGCATGGTGATTAATGCTCAAACTTTTTCCGTGTGAGAAGAGGCCTTTGCTTAGCAGTGGAGACTTATAGGCTGATGATGATGATGAAATATCGAAATGATACTGTTTTATTGTAGAGTTCTAGAATACTATTATTTTAAATTAGTTTTTTTAGTAGTTTTGTTTACTTCTTTTCAACCAGTTTTTCAAGGACATTCGAGTCACCTCGGATGATATTAATATTCTCTAGGTATTTTTTTGTATTTTTCTAATAAAAGAAGTTTTATATTTGTATAATTTCTTATGAAACGTGCCAGCTTAACCGGAGTGATACCACGGTCTCTCAGTAGGTACTTAGGTACATAGGCGTGAAACAACGACTGACTTGTGTGACGTGAGGTTCGCGAGGGCCAAATCTTACCCGCTCCACTCACAACCATCAAATAATGAAATCCTGACTCAGAATCGAACCCATAACACGTTGTCTAGCATCCACAAAGGGATAGCACATATATTATTATACCAACGCTTTTTTATGGACAAATCTATTAGAATTTTGAACATAACATCTTGAATTCTAGACATCTATACTGTTTTTTACTACTATTTTTAATTAAATCCAATTTGTAAAAATTAAACAATAAATTTATTTTTGCAAATAAAAAACAGCACGTTTACACGTCAAAATTACACTTATGTTAAGAAACTAGATGAAGCCGGCATTTCCTATCTATCTACTCTGAGAAGAAATGCCGAAACAAACTCAGAGGTCAGTCTCTTTTATTTAGCAGGCTAAATATTTGTGTAGGCAACTCTCGAGGTATGTTCATAATAAGTGTGGGAGAGCCATGCTTCGGCACGAATGGGTCGGCTCGACCGGAGTGATACCACGGCCTCACAGAAAACCGGCGTGAAACAACCACAGCGCTGTGTTTCGCTATGTGGGTGAGGTTACCGCAGGCCCAATCCTTCCCCTTCCCCAATCCTTCCCCAGTCCCTAAATCGCCAAATCCCTAATCCCTAAAAGATCGGCAACGCACTCGTAACTCCTGCGTTGAGGGTGTCCATGGGCGGCGCTGATTGCTTACCATCAGGTAATCCGTTTGCCCGTTTGCCGAGTTTGCCGACCAATTACATAAAAAAATGCGAGAATAAACAGTCGCGAATCGACTGAAATGTCTTCACGGTACAAAACAAAATAAATATATAATCGATAACCTATCTGACCAACTATTTTATTTAAAGCAAGTCGATAAAAGCATTTAATCTTTTTTATCAATGAATTAGCGACCCTCCCCAAATTCGCACGATTGCAACGCTGATCCAAATTTCACCATTATTTAATGGATGTTTTTATACGTATAAACCTTCCTTTTCAATCACTCTATCTATGAAAAACCGCATCAAAATCCGTTGTGTAGTTTTAAAAATTTAGGCATACATGGGAATATAGGGACAGAGAAAGCGACTTTGTGTTATACTATGTAGTGATTATTACGTGAAACATAACAAAATGTTATTCGATTAAGATCAGATTTTTCATTGTTTAGATAAAAGTTACCTGGGGAATAATTATGATGCGGTCGCGTCAGAACGTTTGAATAAGACAGTGACAGCAACAATTTTATTTCTCAAATCACATTTATCTGACTATTGTTAAATCGGCCCTAAAAGTTGTATGTTTTACGCTCACCAAGCCACATTTGTCATATCCATGTATCAGTTAAGTATACTTCGTAACATTAAGGTAGGTATTGCGTATTTCATGATATCACATATCTATTGATAATCTAACTAATATTATCACGGTAATACCTAGTCAAATAATACAGCCCGTCTACCGTAGCATTGAGACGGACCGCTTATGACAATTCTACCAATTTGGTAGAATTCCTACTGAAGTAAATTGTCTCTGGAGAATGAAAAAATAATTTTATTTAATAAATTTAATGAAATATAAAACAGTCTGAATGGCGCACCATATGTCTTTATAAAAATAGGCTATACCTTTAGAATTTACAGTAATTTTTTTTACACTAGTACAGTAGTATTAAAACAAATACTAAACGCTTTAATTATTACCCATCGCTTTGGTTTCGTAGATTGGAAAAACAAATATTTTACATTTTTTACTGAAAGCTTAAAAACTGCAACAAACAAAAACAAAGTATCGTGTATATTTTCTAATAAATCGTCTAACAAATTCGTTTTATATTTTTTTATATAAATTACAGATAACAATGCAATTTAATTACTTCTATTACAAAAAACATTTTAATAATAAAAACATTTTCACTCGGTGACTGTGACGAATTTGTGTAACTTTTAGTTTTCGTGCGCTAGCAACACGATCAAGTGTTTGACAGCTAAACTTCACGGAACAGCATAAGATGGAACAGTGAGTATTATTTTCATGTTATTTTGTTATTTAGTAACTGATATTCGGTATCGAATGCTCGTATTTTATTTAAATACTTTAATACTAACAGATAATCAGTTATTTCTTTTGATACACAAAGTATTAATGTATTATTTCGTCTTAGCGTTGTTAATGTCGGAATCAAATGTAAATTTACAATGTGTATTTCAATAGAAATAGTAGCTTCCTTGTTTAAATTAGTGACTTCCTAAACCGATAATTACAATATATGGTATTATTGCAATAAATACGTTTAGTATCTATATTGTTCTGTCGTCTGTAGTCCAGGACCGATATACTTCACGGCGGGCTGATAATAATAATACCTATTATAGGTTATAATAATATCTTATTTTAAACATTTATACCTAAATAACGTTATCAATGCCCTATTTTGATTTTAGATTTCAACCGTAACAATGTTATTGTAAATGATTTTTAGCCATTTTTCATAATTTACAGAATTAGCAAAGATTTTTTTTACTTGTAATGTTATTTTTGCATATTTGTGAAGTGAATTCTTGCAACCAAATATTCAAGCAGATATCTTCAACGGATTGATAATGTAATTTTGTACACACGTTAAGTTTGCATGACTGTAAATGCTAAGCTGTATGACTTTATTCTGAATCCATAATTGATATATGAAAATATTTTTGTGAATGTTTAGTCCCGGAACTTATAGTAAGAAGACTTAATAGTAATTGAGTATTTTTTATTTTAAAATTTCTTTACCTATTGGTATTAAATGTTACGTAGCTTTAAAAGTTATAATTGAATGTATAATTACTAAGCGAAATATCTTCGGATTGATCCTAGATCGAAATATGGTAGAGTAACGACTCGCCCCAGCATAGCACCAGTGCAAATACTGATACTAAATTTCTCTACTAATAAATGTATGTTATCTATACTAATATTATAAAGAGGTAAAGTATGTAAGTTTGTATGTAGGGGGTAATCTTTGGAACCGCTGGTCGGATTTCAAAAAATCTTTCACTGATAGATAGCTACAATGTTCCTGAGTGCTATAGGCTATAAAACAATACGCTACGATTAAATGGAGCCGAGCAGCGGATGAAACCGCGCGAGATTAGCTAGTTAAACATTTATAATTCTTCCTTTTAAATCGCTCTATATATTAAAAAAGTCATCAAAATCCGTTGCGTAATTTTAAAGATTTAAGCGTACATAGGGATATAGGGACAGAGAAAGCGACTTTGTTTTATACTATGTAGTGATAATGATTTTGGTATATCACTGTATATTATTGTGACTTGTAATTCCTCTGGTGAAGCGGGTGTCTAGTGGCGGCGCTGATTGCTGCCGTATGCTACAATAATTACCACGAATATTCGTTTTCTTTTTATGCAGTCGAGTCGTTTTTTATAATTAAAAAAGTATTCATACACAAATCAAGGGACATTGTGTTTCGCCGTGTTAGTGAGTTTACTGAACACCCAATCCTTCCCCTACCCAATCCAAACTAATAATATAAATGTGAAAGTAACTCTGTCTTTCTATCTGTCTTTTCTTCACGCCTAGACTACTGAACTATTTGTGTGAAATTTGGTACAGACATAGTTCGGAACTCGAGGTAGGACATAGGAAGTCACTATTCCACGCGAACAAAGTCGCCTTAAAAAGCTAGTCCTGATATATCCGAAACTCTAATCACCTAAACGTCGTATTAAGAGAGTCCATGGGCGGCTCCGATTGCTTACCATCAGGTACTCAATACTCAATACTTTATTGCATTCCATAATGTACACAAGGCTGGTAGGTAAATTACAGAGAAACAATTATGGACCCTGGAAAAAAGTATTTAGTTAGACTTGTTCTTTGCCATAGAGTACTTATTCAATATTAACCATAGTAATATACTTTTTTTGTGAGAGGTAAATCATCGAATGACTTCTCACGCCCAGGGTGTGGCGAGAGGGAGTGTCAGACTCTTACTGACTAAAAACCACCCCGTTCCTTCTCCTGCTCCAGGCCGAGACCGCGGTACCTTATTAGTAGTACGCTTACCTCGCAACATTAATTTTATTAACGTTATAATAATTTGTTGCAGTAGGGGACGTTACTGGAAATACTTCGAGAAGAGAGATCGTAACGTAGCTACTTGTAAAATTTGTTTTAATGACTACGCATACAGTTCTAATAAAACCAATCTGAGTAAACATTTGAAAAAGAAACACGATATCGATGTTAGTGAACGAAACTTGGACAGCGATAGTGATGCGGAGACGTGAGTAACTGTGTAACCTATTATTTTGTTATTTATCGATTATAGTATACTAGATACCTTACTAATATCAGCTTTTGTATAGTTATCAAACTTATTACTTAATGTTATTAAATTAAAGCTGATGAGTTAGTTCTTTCCTAATTGGGTCTCCGGTAGCTTCACGCGGTGAAACACAACCCTCTGTTTGTTTGACGCTGATTTTCTGCCAGACCGTGGTTCTCGTCGTGTTCACCATGGCACTCCCACACTTACTAAGTGCTATATTTTTATTTCACACTAGCTTCCGCCCGCGGCTTGTTCCGCGTGGTATTTTGATAAAAAGCAGGAGTATATACCAAATTTCAATCATATCGGTCTACCCGCTTTGGCACGAAAGAATAACAAACCTAATGTAGGTTTGCTCACAAACTTTCACATTTGTAATATCTCCCACACTTATTTTATGCTGTATTTTTATTTCACACTGGCTTCCGCCAAAGCAAACGAGCAAACGAATCACAAGATGCCAAGCAATCGGCGTCGCCCATGGACATTCACACTACCAGAGCCGATACAAACGCGTTACTCACCTTTTAGGAGGTCGATTTAAGGATTACTGGATTATGCTGCCCAGTTTTTGAATAGGGTAGATTAGTTTTTATTCAGGTAGAAACATTTGTTACGTATTTTTATTTATTCTTAGAGATTAAAGTACTTTTGCCGATAATTATGCTGATTTGAAATATCATTTGTGCGAGCGGGAGAACGGTGACGTACTCTCCCGTTCTTAAACGCAAATTCTAAAGTGTTATCAGAGGAGTCAAATTGTTGCTGTCACTGTTTTATACGAACATTCTGACGCGACAGCATCATAATTATTCCCCAGGTAACTTTTATATTATAACCATTAAAAAAGCAGCCCTTATTTAAGTACTGTATTCTTATACCACAAAATCGATACTCCTCCTAACTCCTTTTAACTAATTGTTCAGGAGACTCTTAAAACTCTATAATGTTTTAGCGTAGTGTAGTGTAGACTACTTACAAAAAATCTGAAATACCGTTGGTAGATGTTAACGTAAATCGTTATTTTAAATACTGTCCCATGTTAAGATACTTTTTTTATATAGGTAACTGCGGTGTTTTCAGCGGGCGGCGATATGAATAAAATATTTGTCTTGCGATTTTTACTATCTAAACAACGGGCAGAGTAGATTTTTAATTTCAACCGTCATCTTTATTATTTATTGCTTTTATGCTATTGTATTATAGGCGAATTCAAGTAAATTTACATTTTCAGTGTCAAGGAGCCTAACAAAATGAAAGCAGGAGGTACCACAATGAGTTATTTCGACATTTTGGATTCTGATAACGCAGAAGTTCAATGTAAATTGTGCGAGAAGAATATGTCTTACGAAACAGTTGGAGACTTGAAGGCACATATTATAGAGGAACATGGAAAAAATCCTACAGACAGCAATTGTAATAAAAGGAAGACTGATGGCACGTAAGTTGTTTCTTATTTTTTGCAGGGTTTCATACTCAAAGTAAAAACGGGGACTGTATGATTTTTTTTATTAGTTTGTCAAACGAGCCTTGTGGTAAGCAACAGCGTCGCCCATGGACACCCTCAACAACTGAGGAGTTACGAGTGCGTTACCCACTTTTGGCATTTGGAAATTATGGGATTGGGGAAGGATTTGGCCTCCGGTAATCTCATTCACGCCGGTTTTTGGCGAGGTCGTGGTATCACTCTTTGAGCCGACCCATTCGTGTCGGGGCATAGCTTTCCCACACTTACTACGGTAAAGATAGTCATCCCTATGATCATCAGCCTATAAGTGTCCACTGCTGAGCAAAGGCTTCTTCTCGCATGGAGAAGGTTTGAGCATTTATCAGCATGCTTGCCCAAGGAGGATTGGCGATTTCAAACTTAGTTTGTGTGCAATATGGTGGTACTTAACTTTCCGGCGAGAAACAACCACAGCGTTGTGTTTCGCCGTGTGAGTGAGGTTACCGGATGCCCAATCCGTCACCCTCTCCCCACCCATTCCCAATCCTTAAATATACGAAACCCTTATCCCCAAAATGCCGGCAACGCACTCGTAACTCCTCTGGCGTTGCGGGTATCCATGGGCGGCACCGATTGCTTACCATCAGGTAATCCATAAGCTTGTTTGCCGACATCCCTTATAAAAATTGCTGAACTTGTCCTCAGTGGAAAGATTTTAATCTGTGATTGCAGTAATCGTGGGTATATTAGCGAATAATCCAGCAAAATACTTCAGCTGGTTAATTCAATGGGAATATTTGTGTGTGATGGGATTTCGTTTTTCAGTAGAGCGCCATATTGGAAGTTCTTCACGAAGAAAGAGCGTTACATGGCGACCTGTAATATATGTTGTAACGATTACTCATATCGTTCATCTGTAAGCAATCTAGCTAAACATTTGAAAAATAAACACGGAGTTAACGTTAGTTCAGCTGTCAATGACAGCGATAGTGAAGCGGAAATGTGAGTATCTTGTGGTATTAAATATATTTTCTTTTTTGTTTTTAGAGCTGAATTTTCAATAGTCACATAAATGTTACCTAAGGAATTAAATTGTTGCTGTCACTGTTTTATACAAACTTGTGCATGACGCGACAGCATCATAATTATTCTTTTTGTACATTTTATCTAACCATTAAAAAATCAGCCCTTAAGCTTTTTTCTAATTTATAGCTAAATATCAGATAGTATGGTAGTAAAATATATATTATGCTTGCGCTAAAGACGTGTATGTATGTGTTTACACAATAATACTTTTAAAAACCATCAACATACCTCAATAATTTTAAAAGTGATTATTTTATAATATAAGTAAAAACTAAAAATGAACTTATATGAAATTGTAAAAAAACTATTATTATGCTATAAGTTGCGATTTTAAACAAATTTTTATATAAAATTATAGTTTGTATAAGTATTTGGTTTGGTATGCATATTAATAATTGAATTTGATTAGTTGGAAACTACCATATCTAACAAACAGCACTCGCGACTTAAAAAAAAACTCAGCTAAACTTTTCTGCTTTTGTATTTAAATTATGATTTCTAACTATGAGACGTTTTTAGAGAAAAGCCGTCCAGCAAAAAGAGACCAACTTGGAGCTATTTTGAGGTCTTAGACTCCGATAAATTCGATGCACAATGCAAAATATGTGACAAAACAATATCTTATGATACCGTGGATGAGTTGAAGAAACATGTCGAAGATCACGGAGAGAATCCTATTGACAGCGATGATGAGACTCAAGATAATAAAATACCTAAGTGAGTGCTTATTACTATCATTTTATTTCATCATCATCATCAGCCTTTAAGTGCCCACTGCTAAACAAAGGCATCTTCTCACACTGAGAAGGTTCGAGCGTTAATCACCACGGATAGGCAATATCAAACTGGCCTTAACATTTCTAATTACAAGTCCCAAGTTTCCTCACGATGTTTTCCTTAACCGTATGTCTATGTTGTCTTAATGATCTTAGAAAAAACATATGACTCTGAAAAAGCCACACCGGTATTTGCAAGGTTTTGAACCCACCTTTTAAGATTAACGGAATTCCAATCCTTTCCCTTGGGTCTTCTCAATACTTCCCTATCCTCAAAGTCCTTACTATGCATAAAATATCTTTTGCAACGCATTTGTTAATTCGTTTTTGTTACGAGTGCGTCTATTGTTTACTAGTATTAAGTGATCTGCCTACTAATTTTGTTAACGTATGCCATAAAAAACTATATATAGAACTAAATCAACTAAAAATCGCGGGTTACTCCCGTGTGTAATTGAGCAAAGCTCTACTAGTTTCGAACCATCAGCAGGCTGCGCGACGTCGCCGCGTCCGCGCACGCTGCTCATGAGGAAGAACCCCTCTGTGGTTCGAAACTAGTAGAGCTTTTCTGAATTACATACGGGAGTACCCCGCGATTTTTAGTTAATTTAGTATGACTCACAATAGTAATTATAAAAAATATATTCTATTTTTACTATTTGTTCTGGATAAAGGGCTTTCAAATATAACTTTTCAGCGTTATGTAGTAATTACGGACCCGCCCTAGCTTCACAAAGTCTCTCAATCACTCTATCTGTTAAAAAATACCAACAAAATCGGTTGCGTAGTTTTAACGATTTAAGCGTACATAGGGATATAGGGACAGAGAAAGCGACTTTTGTTTTATACTATGTAGTGATAATAATAGTATTCATTTGTAAAATTTTAACAATAAACATGTAAAAATCTTGAATTAACGGTTCTCCTTCACTGTTTAGGCCAAGGAGACCATCTGAAGTTTGGAAATATTTCAAGAAATTAGATGATGAATCCAAGATTGCCCTGTGTCTGATCTGTAAGAAGGTATACAATGCTGCGACGACTAACAACCTAAAGAAACATCTCAAGAATATGCATCCTAACTCCAAGATGCCTGATGATGAGGTAAATCTTAGGACCTGGATAAATTGGAATGTTTTTTTTTTATACGGTAAGGCGTCAAATGAGCCGTGGAATTACCTGGTGGTAAGCTATCGATTGCAACAACGGCAGCAGCAGAATTATTGCTTACCTATTGATCTTCCGGCGGCGGTATTCCCGAACCGATACGACCTTCAAACATTCAAGAAACGAGAGTACTCCTTTTTAAAATGCCGGCAAAGCACCTGTGACTCCTCTGGTGTTGCCCGTGTCCATGGGCGACGCTGTCTGTTTATCGGTCTTATTTTTTATGTGACAGCTAATGAGATTACCTGATGGTAAGCAATCAGCGCCGCTCATAAACACCCTCAAGAGCAGAGGAGTTACGAGTGCGTTGCCGACCTTTTGGGGATTAGGATATGAGGGAGGGCAAGCATTGTGCCTCCGGTAACCTCAAACACACGGCGAAACTCAACGCTGTGGTTGTTTCACACCGGTTTTCTGTGAGGCCGTGGTATCACTCCCTATCCCACAGAACTTAATATGAATTTATACACTTTCTATTTTTTTTCAGAAGAAATATATACTATCAGCTAATGGCCAGCTGTTTGAAGTGGAGTCAGATACAGAAAAGGACAACGTAGATGATGATAATTATGATGTAAGTATCCACTTGTACCCTTCGAAGGTTTGGACTAAAGACTCAGACAGTTGAGATTTTAATAATTTGTTTTCTTTCACAGAAAAACCCAATTGAAATGGACACAATATATCTCGAAGATCTCGAGGATTCTATAGATTTATCTCACCAATCACCTCCTAGTCCACAGAAAAAGAAAGCTAAATTAATAACACCAAAAAGACAATCTTTCTCAAAACCACGCAGAGAACAGATATTAAATAACAGTTCCAGTAACGATACTAACGATATACCAATGAGAAGTAACTCTAATAATACTAGTTTGGATTACTTTGGCCAATACGTAGTATCTTTACTAAAAGAATTACCCAAATCTGTCTCAAGTCAATTGCAAAATGAAATAATAAAACAAATTTTGACAAGTAAAGTTGCTTTAGAATCGGAAGGAACGAAATGCGAAGTTAGTATCAACCAAAATGCTGATAGTCAGACGCAAATAACAGAAACCGTTATGTATATTGAAGCTAAGCCAAATACCTAGTATTTATTAAATTGATAACCACTGCACTAGTAGTATTTTTTTTAATAATGGAAATGTCAAATATTTTAAATAAAGAACTTTTTCGTAAACGAATTTCTTGTATTATTTTTTTTCGTTTTGTTTCATTACCTTTTTTATTTTATTGTATAAAGGGTGCAATGTTGTAATTAAATTTCTCCACTGTTTATATACTTCCTTACATATATATCTTATTATTACACCTATATATTATAAACCTTTCTTTTCAATCACTAAGATAGTGAGTATTTATTAAAAAAAACCGCATCACAATGCGTTGCGTAGTTTTAAAGATTAAAGCATACCTACATAGGGATATAGGGACAGAGAAAGCGACTGTGTTTTATACTGTATAGGTAGTGATAAAGCACAGATGATAAAACAAAACCTAAGGTAAGGTAAGTTTGTATGTAGGGGGTAATATTTGAAACCGCTGGTCGGATTTCCAAAATTCTTTCACTGACATTCTTATGTATAGCTACAATGTTCCTGTACGCTATAGGCTATAAACTATACTCGATTCACGTATTTTAGTCGAGCTATCGCTTGAAACGCTGTTGATTTTTAAATACCGGGATACATCAGGTACTTTGAGGCGTGCGAAGCTGCGGGCGGAAGCTGTGTTATAACTACAGTCACGTCGCGTCAGACCATGAAGCACGTTTTTCTACATAATTTATGAAATGCGTAATAATTAATAAATAATAACGATTATAAATTGGTATTTTGTAACTAAACACGTAATTAATTATACATGTACCTATAATAGTACGTATGTTTCTATGTATAATAATAATTAATTATTATTATTTGAATAAAATATTTTACCTGTTAAAACCTCTTTTAAATTTTCAAGTTTTCAATTCGACACTCAATCCAAGAATAATAGGTGCGTGAACTCCAGCGTTCGCTTGGGTTTGATGTATTAAACAGAGTCAGAACTAGTATGGCTATCAAACCCAGAGCTATACTTATTGAATAAAAAAATCAGCCGGCGTTGCGGGGCTAGCGCAGCCTCGGCTCTGGGCAGGAGAAGGAACGGGAGGGTTTTTAGTCTGTAAGGGTGCAGTTCCATTGAGGCGGAGCGGAGAAGAACTGTGCCACGATTCACCACATGGCTTGAAATCCACACCGAAGAAGAGACATGTGGATTTCAATGTGATGGTGAATCGCGGCACAGCTGTTCTCCGCTCCGCCTCAATGGAACTGCACCCTAAGAGTCTGACACTCTCTCTCGCCTTACCCTGGACGGGAAAAGTCAATTCATGATTTTTCCCCTCACAAAAAATCGTTAGCCTACAGCAGGAGAAGGAACAGTGTATTTTTAAATTTTTAGTCAGTAAGAGTCTGACACTCCCTGTCGCCATACTCTACGCAATAAAAGTCATTAGATGATTTGCCCTTCACAAAAAAAGAAACAAATGAATTACGAGTGTATTAGACAGTCGTGTTTTGTCAATAAATGGGCCAGCTCGAGCCAAGTGATACCACGGCCTCACAGAAAACCGGCTTGAAACAACCACAGCGTTGAGTTTCGCCGTGGGAGTGAGGTTACTGGACGCCAAGAAGGTTGGCAACGCACTCGTAACTCCTCTGCTGTTGCGGATATCCATACTTTTAATTTTTGTGATGGGAAAATCGTTACATGACTTCCCCCGCCCAGGGTGAGGAGAGAGGGAGTGTCAGACTCTTACTGACTAAAAACCCGACCGTTCCTTCTCCTGCTCCGAGCAGTAGCCGAGGTACCTTTGCTTACCCTGCAACCCTGGCTGAACATCGCAAAACGGCCCTAATGCATTCGGACAACTCAGCAGCACTAGCTGTACTGGTTGCAAACTGACACTTGCGTGCCTGTCTTCAGAACGGGTCCACTTAAACTGGTGTGGTTCTTTCCTCAAAAGACCACTACAGAATGAACTTGCACGGTTCTCTCACATTATGTTATTTTACATTGTCTGGACTTGAAAAGAGACTGACCTCTGAGTTTGTTTCGGCATTTCTTCTCAGAGTAGTCAGATAGGAAATGTCGGCTTCATCTAGCTTTTCACATATAAATTGACGTGTAGAAGTGCCGTTTTATGGCCTATTTGCAAAAATAAATTCATTGTTCATGTCCCCATGTGTAGGGATCATGAAGTTAAAATCGTATGGAGCGCGCGTACAGTGATTTTGCGCTCACTAACAGCTAGACAAGTATTGGTACTTCATGGTCGTAGTCTATTGGCTTTGTAAAGGAAAATGAAAAACTCTGGACGTTTTCTTCATGATTGGCTCTTTGAGGCGCGCTCGGAACGCTACGTACTACGCTCGGAATGCGTCCTATGCTTTCAGTAGTAATAAATACTGACTCACAGAAATAAATGAAATAATATCTAGAATTGTTATTTCATGTAAAATTATTTCTCATTGCATTTCCGAGTAGGGATGGTTTTTTTATATGACCACATCGCTGGTTGTAATTATTTTCCTGTTGTATAGGTACATTTTGCTTTGTAATTAACATAATAATAGCAACTAATGTTCCTCAAAGTTACATTCAGAGTCAGAGGAAATAGGTAACACGAAATTCTGGCTTCAATAACTGTCTCATTTAGAATCAAAGTCTAATACTAATTTGGCCCGGCTGAAGATTCTTGCCCCGGCGACACGTGTCAGTGCGTAAACTGTAGACGCAGGCGAACGCCTTCGCCTCCAGATCCCATGGCGATGATCCGGCAAGGAGGTTCGCCGCCTCTCCTTAGATCGTGAGATAGCTGCGGATCATGCGTATGGCCATAACCCTCTACCAAGCGACCAGTGCACGAGTAGGTCGCATTAGAGAGCCATGAATCGCACGATCATCGTGATAAAACCTGGGCCTCGAGTCTGCTATTACAATAGTGTCAGAATAGTAGATCATTGGTTTCAAAATTGTTGATTTTGACAAGTTTGGTAATCTACTAACACTATAGCGTTATTACGAATTTCCAATGCCACTTCATTGAAATAATTCTTTAGAACGGTAATCTCGTACATAATGAGAAATGAATATTTGACATAATGCGGTAAATTAATAAAAAAATGTCAGTTCCTTTATTCAATGATTTACGTTTAGAATATTAATGTGCAGTTATTGTTTATAATTCGGTACAAGACATCTCGTACTATAATTATATTACGACATCGCCGAACGCCAATGATCAGCCATTTTGAATTAACAGATTACGAACTTTTAGTAAAATGACAATGGAATCGTGTAGGAATGACAACACTTTGAAAATAGTAGACTCGAGCCCCTGGCCTTATAATATTATTTAATTACCAATCCACCTTGATTAATTGCCAACGCAAGCGCCAGGTGTATTGGTGGTCGCAGGAATTGGCAGACCTGCGCGGTGAGTGCACCGCAGCGCGACGCCGATACACCAGGCACCGCAGGCTCCGTCTCCGCCCTCTGGACGCCGAAACCAGAGAGGCGGAGCTATACGAGGAGTACAGGGCGGCGAAGGCCACCCTCAGGGTGGAGATCCGGCGGGCCAAAGATCGGGCCCGCGAGGAGATGTTGGAGACTCTGAACAGAGACCCGTGGGGACGCCCCTACCGGATGGTGCGTGATAAGCTCCGCACCTGGGCGCCCCCACTGACTCAGAGTCTCCGGCCGGAGGTCGTGGACGAAGTGGTTGGGGCGCTATTCCCCCGACCACAGATGGGTTACACGCCTCCGGCTATGCCCCCGCCCCCTGCGGTGCCCAATGCGGGCTACAACGACGACGACGATGAATCCGCTCCGGAAGTGACCGAGGTAGATTTGAGAGTGGCGGTGCGCCGGCTGAGCGGCAAGAATACCGCCCCAGGACCTGACGGGCTGCATGCCAAGGTCTGGGTCCTGGCCTCGGAGGCTCTCAGGCCTCGACTACTTGGTCTGTTCAGCGCATGTTTGGAGAGAGGCCAGTTTCCGCTGTCGTGGAAGACGGGTAAACTGGTCCTCGTGAAGAAGCCGGGGCGTCCTGCGGACTCTCCGTCCGCGTACCGGCCCATTGTGCTGCTCGACGAGGTGGGAAAGCTGTTCGAGAGGATAATCTCAGACCGCCTCGTCGGGCACCTGTCTGGAAGGGGGCCGGATTTAGCGGACGGCCAGTTCGGCTTCCGCAGAGGGCGCTCCACGGTGGACGCCATCATGCGCGTGAGGGACCTCACGACGGGGACAGCGTTGGCCGGGAGGCGAGTCGTCGTGGCGGTGTCTCTGGACATCGCCAACGCCTTTAACTCGCTGCCCTGGAGCTGCATTTTGGAGGCACTCCGGTACCACCGGGTGCCTGCCTATCTCCGTCGTGTAGTCGAGGCTTACTTGACGGACAGATGTGTCATCTACCCCGGTCACCGGGGCGTGTGGAATCGGCGAGAGGTGTCGCGCGGTGTCCCACAGGGATCGGTCCTGGGACCTCTCCTGTGGAACATCGGGTACGATTGGGTGCTACGCACCGACCTCCCGAGCGGCGTCAGCATTGTCTGCTATGCTGACGACACGCTGGTGCTGGCGAACGGGAGGTCGCATCAGGCGGCGGCCGACCTGACGTCACAAGCGGTTGCGACAGTCGTTGCAAGGATCCGGCAGTTGGGACTCGAGGTGGCGCTCCACAAGTCCGAGGCCATGTGCTTCTATGGCCGTCGGAGCGCGCCACCTCCAGGTGGGTCCCAAGTAACGGCAGGAGGAGTTACCATCGGCGTCGAGTCGGCGATGAAGTACCTGGGTCTCGTCCTCGACAGCCGATGGAACTTCACGGAGCATTTTCGTCGTTTGGCCCCTAAGTTGGAACGGTCTGGGGCCGCGCTCAAGCGGCTCCTTCCCAACCTCGGGGGGCCAAACGCCTCCTGCCGGAGGTTGTATATGGGAATTGTGCGATCCATGGCCCTCTACGGTGCCCCTGTGTGGGCGCCGGACTTGAAGCGGCGGCCGGCTCGTACGCTGGTCGCGTCCCAGAGGATCATGGCTATACGAGTAATCCGCGGGTATCGCACGATCTCCGGGGAGGCGGCGAACCTCCTTGCCGGATCACCGCCGTGGGATCTAGAAGCG